CTCTCTCCTCCTCCTCTCTCTCTCTCTCTCTCTCTCTCTCTCTCTCTCTCTCTCTCTCTCTCTCTCCCCACTCTCCTCCTCTAGTTCTTTCTCTTTGATCCTCGCGTGAAATATATCGCCGTTGTGACACGTCGCAATCAGGAAGCGCGACGAAATCGCGATCGCGCGTAGGCGCCATCCGTGATGATCGATCGCTCCGTGACCTGACACCTGTCATTATTTTGTCATTATCGGCGATCATCGGATCTCTGAAACGCAGGCATTACGCGGCGCGTGTACTCGCATGATACGAGAACCTCTCATCTCTTTTTTTTCCTGCCGTTCTTCCTCCCCTCCCGCCCCCCTCTCCCCTCCTCTACCGCCTCTCCCTTTCTCTCATGCTCTCACACATGATGACTTTTTTTGACGCGATTGCGTCAGGCCGGTGTATGACGTTGCGCGAGTATGCCGAACAGAACGGAAGATAAATTGGTCTGTGTCTCTTTTCTCCGTCGTTTTGATCATCGAGGAATTAACACTGGGACCACTTTGTTGTCGGAGCGAAACGACGCTTTTGGCTCGTCGAAATTGTAACATGAAAACATCCTCAATCATGTCGTACGACTTTTTTTTCTCTGCAAGCCACTTTACATATGTCATTACATGCTGTTTATAATTATTTTTTATATAACTTGCTATATGAAATTATATTACTTCTGTCTTTTTATAAGTTATTTTATAATTATTATAAAATATTCATATTTTATATATTAATTATTAGAGAGAAATTTTGGTTCTTATGAATTTACAATAATTAAAGTTGGATATTGAAATTAAAATTTAAACAATAATACAAAACAAAGAAGCAAAAAAAGCTTCAAATGCGTACCTTCCTCTTCCCTCCAAAAATTCATTAAAAAAATAATATTTTTTAAAATTAACTTTTAATTTAACAGAAATTAATTTAATTTTGGCATTTTAATTAAGTTACTTTCTTAATCATGCAACTTTTAACGTAATTAGATTAATTTTATAAACTATTAACTTTAACTTAATTAAAAAAATAAACAAATTTAACCAAACCTACTTTTATATATAATTTTTTTTGAAAATCATCTCATCTTTTTATTTTCCTCGTGTATTATCGAAAAACTTTCCATATGTCTTTATCTCTCTTTTTATGAAAGATTAGTACGAGTTATACAAAGTTTTACGTTCAGTATTTTTAAATATTTGTATACAAATTCTTGTAATTTTTTAGAACAAACGCAACTTGTTCGCTTCGACTTCTTAAAATATAATTTCTGAGAATTATACGAGTGAAAAAATTACTGCGCCCAATGAAGAACAGAGAAGCCTACAGTGTGTACAATTTCAAAGTTATGAAACAAATCGAAATCCTTGCTGTTCAAGAAAAGAATCTGCACGTGCACATGATGACACGCACTTTTCTCTCCTCTCTCTCTCTC